TGAAAAAGAAGAACACCAAGATTTTGACAGTGAGGCCGAATTACTGTGGGACTCGCAAAGTAGTCAAGCTTGCAGGAGACCGGTGGACTTTATGTTTTATCTCTGTGGGAAAGCTGAGTGCCGAGTGACATTCGCGTACAAACTACAGCCCTTAATTCCAGGTAGATTAGTCGGAAGCGAGCGGTTCCAATGAAGGAATCTGCGGCAACAAGGGCGGTTTCAAATAATGGACGCGATAGAGTAATATTGTCATTAATATAACGAAAGCGAAACGTGATGTGCTGACGCATTGATGACGAAAAGACAGAAATGCAAGTGGAGAAAAGGTGGGAATGTGAAAAGGGAACAAAGTAGAAACACGTGTCCAAAGTTTACATGTCGTAAGACGTAACGATCAGATGCAGTGTACTTTATAAAGTAAAATGCCAGCAGTTTACCACAGTGGAGTATGTTGACGCATTAAACTCTTATAAAGATGACGTCCAGAGAACAGATGAATAGTAGAAAACGTTAAATTTAACAGGGCAGTTAAAAAGCTACTAAACAAAAAAATTTAGCTGTACGTCAATGACTCACCAGGTGCTATGATTTAAGCTATTGGTCTCGATGTAATGAAGCAGTAAGCGTCAAGACAACCTCATCTTTCATTCGTGTAATATATAGCTATCAGCTAGATAAGAGGTTCGCCACTCTAAGTGCAAGACGCGAAAGTAGGTGGCCATTAAAGAACACACAAAGATAAGTAACCATGGTGCTGAGCACCGTGGGAGGATTAGAAATATAAGCAATTAAGATGAATCGCAGTATGCAGTGGTAACCGAAAACAAGCGCTTAAAGTATATCTTTTTGGAGCACAGGCTGCCTTTCCAATCCCTAAAGTAACGCCGACGTATATATATATATATATATATATATATATATATATATATATATATATATATATCTGTGGGGGCGGCATCCGGTTTCGGGTTTGCTTGTCACTAAGGCCAGCCACAGGACGCCTGCGTCTACAGAGGGGCCATTGGTGGCTTCCGCTACGTGAACGGGAGGCATTAATGACTGCGTTTTATGCCAGTGAGAACCGTTCCTGGATAAGAAAGAGTTCGATGGTTCACGATCTGTTAGTGCTGTGATCGTATAGTGTAAATTCAATCTGGAACATTTCGCCATTTTACGTGAGAAATTGAAGATAGGAAACAGCACAATGGGTTCGCAGGCGAAGCGCGTGTTCAGTCCTATCGGATGCACAATCAATCTGACCATGCTTAGTACGCATTATGGCACCCAGTTAATTTTTTCTAAATCAGTCATGAAAAAATAGCTACTGCTAACTAACAACCGAAAAGCACAAAAGTGATGAACCTCGCAACCGGCGACAACGGGGCTCGTACAGCCGTTAGACAAATAGGTGTATCATCAAGATAAGTCTATATCGAGGTTCCAATGATGACGGAAGCTGCTGGATCAGTCGGTTAGTGGAGCTAACCACGCAAGTGCATGGATAAACCACCATGTCTCAGTAGTCTTTAAAGATGGCGAATGCATATAGACGAAACTATCTCCAAGCATTAAAACGTAATAAACTGTGCCATCCCGCGTTCGCCATGTTAATACTCAAAAGCAAAAAGTGGGCTGGTTTAGAACAATCAATTGTGTCACTGCTTGTGAGGTAGTTCAAATGGGAACAATGGTATCCAGTGCTGAAGTCGCCTGGATGCCCACTGGTTAGTACTGGGTGCATCAGCAGACAATGGAGACAGCTGCGAAGGTGGGTTTGACCAAGGGAAATAAGGGCAGCAGTATTGTTCTCGGAATTGAGCAGAACGTTAAAATTTTCGTTACCAGAGTAACCGTAACAATGCGACAAATCAGGATAAGAGTGTAAATTGCAGCTCCAAGTGTAGAACTTACCTTGCGACCTGGCTGGTCCTAACAAAAGACTACATGTAAGCGGCGTGATGGGAACACTAAGGGCAAGTGGCGACGAGAACTGATCGGTACAGGATACCAGAGGACAATGTAAATAGTAGTCAAAAATAAATCTTGATCAAGAAGTTCACCATCTGGACCAGATGCTGCATTAGCTCGCGTGCTCTAATTAAGTAAGGAGGGCAGGTGACCACCTACATAGTGGTCAGTACTGATAGGACCAACAAAGATATCAGGGTGGAATCAAGGTGATGGGGAATGCGCGCGGTCTGAGACAAATGATGTTGCAATACAAAAGCTACTTTATGAGGAATATATTCAAAGCTCCAGAGTGACGTACAGATGTACAAGATCAAGTGTTTTACAAAATGGTAAACAGAGATCACCAGGTGTACAAGTATGTTTTCAAGGTGGCTACCATTCAGTAATTGTACAAGCAGAGGTTAGCGTGATTACCGGGAGAACAAACTGCTATCACTGCTGGGGTAACGCGACTGTTGTTGCCGCGGAATATGTTACATATAGTTTTTGCTGTCTAATTGTACACATGTGCATGGAAACCAAGTGTTGGCTGAGGTTTATGGACGTAGAATGTAGTTACAACTTCCGTAGATTGTTATATATATATATATATATATATATATATATATATATATATATATATATATATATATATATATATATATATATATATACAACAGGACCGCGCGGACACATGTGTGGTAGATCTTCTCCTTTAAGGAGAGGGATATGTCCCGACGACGCCACAAACGACTCCGGTTGGTACACGCCGACATGGCTCTGACGATGCGATGAGATACCTCTTTCCCAATAGTGCCGTCAGCAGGAATATAGCTTTCGAGGTAGACAAAGTTGTCCACAAGCTCTAGCTGTGTTCCTTCAATGGTAAGGGAGGGGACAGATGACTTCCAGTCCTGGAGTAGCAATTTATACTTCAAGGGGGAAAAGCGTATACCGTACTTAGATGCTTCAATCGCCACAGTTCGAAATGGGCTGTACACTCTGTGAATCGTCACCGAGCAGAGCGATGTCATCAGCATAAGCTAAGTCGGTCACTCGATTGCCAGGAAGAAGCTAAACACCAAGATTTTGTGAGTCTTCCAGAGATATCAACAAGACGTACACAATTGAAAAGTTGAAGAGGAATGGAGACATAGGGCACCCTTGTCGCACACCACTAGAGATAGCGAATGGTTAAGAAAGCTTGTCACAGACCCTCACTCCACCTGACACTTGGAAGTAAAGCGTCTGAATAATAGAAGTGTACATTTCGGGGACTCAATTTCTTAGCAAACAGTGCCATAAACTAGGCCAATCGACTGAGTCAAATGCAGCTCGAGTGTCCAGGAAAATTGTCATAATTCCTGGAGACAAATTAGTGGATCCGCTTACAGGAAGATGATATGACGGAATATGGACTAAGTTATCAATAGTCGTGGCTTCCCAACTGTAGCATCTGCTCATTCCTCTTCAGACTTCCAGTAAACATCGGGTGTGGGGCTACGATTGGTGCAGTTTAAGCCACATCGCTTTCGGAGAGGCACAGGCGCCCAGTGGACATTCGCTGGGGACATAGCAGACAAGAGTGATTGACAGTCAATGAGGCGTTACTATTTATGGAACATCAAGCTGTGTTTTGTGCACAGATACAATGGGGTTGCCTTGGGCTTGACTTGGACATTTTGATTGGTGTTGCTCATTTATCCATGTATACCATTGATTGAGACTGAGAAGAACAATCGAGCTGTTGACATATTGTAACCCACGTCCTTTTTCTCAATTGATGAAGTGTTTGGTGATTCAATCTGAAAACATGCAATGTTGAAGTTATCCAAAATTCAGTTGGCTTGCCAATTGCATGGTTCAATATTAATCCGTTTCAGTCAATCGTTCGGAAGCAGTGTTCCAGGGCGTGGTAGGTCTTCGCCTAGGAAGCGCTCTGCCAATACTTTGGCTGCATCACCTGAGGTGGCTGGGGCATGTCCAACGTATGAAAGAGACGAGGATACCCCAACCAGATGGATAAATTAGTGAAGGGAAGCGGCGCATTGGAAAACCGAAGTTGCGTTATCAGGACATGGGTTTATCACGAACATAAAGTTGTTTGCAAGTGTTGGGAATCAAAGGCAATTGATCGGCGCGAATCGCATGAACTGATCAATAAAGCGGTTTCAACGGTGTAGCAGAAAACACTATTACGTGCGGAGGTGAAACGTCGGGTACGGAAGCGATGGGCGCGGATGGAGTCTACTCTATCGATGTCAAGCGTGGAGAATCCAGTCGCAGTATAAGCGTACGTAAACAATTCAATCCGGTTGAACACGATCACACAAATCTAGGACGCTTAGCGTTGGGTTGCACTGTTCCAGCCAATACAACGGATACAGACACTTCGCCTCGCCGACAGGGAAATAAGCCGGTTTTCGGGTTCGAATTCGAGATGAGAAAATGTACGGGCGATAGTCAAGCAGTTAGAGATCAAACATGGCGGTCCACTGCCGCTGCATATGGTTGTTGTTTAAATCAATTGAATCCAAAGGGGAATGAACACTGGAGATGAGCCCCCAGGAAAAGTGGCAATCCGGCGATTCTCGTGATATGCGCTGTCCTTCTGCCTGACTGAATCAGGATGTGATCGGTGAGTTGTGTACCACCCACATTGACGTGACAGCGATACCTGAGACGAGAGAAATCGTCCGAACTACCCTACTTCATAGTCATGTTGTGCCGTCAGTAGCATCACTGTTGTTATCCGAGGGACGTGATCAAAGACTATCTGGCAGGCGCTACCTAGGTTCGTGACCAGTTAACTACGCACGGTCTGTTAGCATCGGTTATGTGTCGGCACGAAGAACAACATGTCTCTGGTCATAATAATCAGAAGGAGCTGTCTGGACCCTAGTAGGTGACTCGTGATGTTGAATCCAAATATGAGGTGAATAAGTAGAGCTTACAATTAGTGTACACTGTCTGAGGTCATTCTCAGATGTACCGATACCATCACACAGAGAATAAAATGCTACCAAGAAGCGTTGAAAACAACAACCTACCGTGGACTGAATGTGCGGGACAAGCTCTCGACCGCCACCGGAGATCCACCATGGGTACAGCACATGCTCTGTGGGGGAGATAGGCGCCCGATGATAACTGGCATTAGAAAGGGTTCGGTGTAACTGAATGCGATATTGGTATGCCAGAAAGAGCTGGAGAATGTTGTACTTCGCAGTTTCTTGGCTGTTTCGGTGGGAAGACGAGTCATTGTTTGGGGCGAATACCATGTTTAGTAACTGTGTGGCTGCGTTACAATTTGCCATCACTGGATCGTCGGCATTTTTTGGTAACACTAAGACGCGATGGTGGACTGCCAACTGTGGATTCAAATGGTCTGAGTTGAATACGTGAGTCTTCTGGTCAAGCAAATGAAAGCACTGGTCGAGAGATCGCAATCCACGGAGCTGCCGTTCGGACAAAGTAATCATGAGATCCGGTGAACTCGTGGTGTCAGGGTGGCTGAGTAGTCCGTACGAGAGTAAGGCACCGATGGCGGAAAGATGGCGAGGACATAGGTCGATAGCGGAAAGGTTGTACTCTCGAGTGTCTGAAAGTAAATCAAAGGAGAAACAAGGCTGATGACGCGTGTCCAGATGATATCCACTGGAAGGGAAAATCTCAAACGCATCACCAGTATTCGATGTGTGATATTCATACTCAGAGACTGTGGTGACAGAAAGCGTGCCGTGTGAGAGGTACGGGAACACAAATAAGGGAGCTATCAGATGTAGAAGGCTTGAGAACAGAAAAAATGAGGAATCAACTAGGAGCCTGTTATTTGAAAGCAGAATATTTTCGGCAAGATGTACCCTGTGGCCAAAGTTTCGGTGGATAATTGAATGGAAAGTCGAAGAATGTCAAAGGAGGACTTAGTGTGTTATAGAAGTGTAGGAAACTATGAGTGAAAAGTAAAAAAATGTGATAAGGCAAATAAGGTAGAATATATCTGCAATGAGGGATAAGCTGAGGCGAGCGAGTTAAACGGCAGGACCTAATTGTTTATCGGTGAATCTGGGATGTGCATCGATATCAGACGCCAACAGTAATCCGTGCGCGAACGGATGTAGCACACATACTAAGCGCTGTGATTAGCCTTCACCACCCGAGTGCTACGAGATAGCAACAAGTAATCGAGTAGAGGAGGGCTCAATTACGCGACTGTCATGAGAGTGAGCGTTCGGGATACATCAGACGAATCAGGAGGAAAGGGAAAAAATAAAAAAACTACAACTGCAGTAGTGGACAAACAATTCATGCATGACTGTTTGTCGATTGGAAAAGCATCCTAAGATGAATGGTACTGCTACCGGCATTAAACGAACGAATGGACTAAATACTAATAATAAGCTTGTGTCCTCTAGATTTAGCGGACTTAAAAGTAAGCTGTTCAACGGAAAACGGCGCAATAGTGCTGCCAAGTTATAATTTTTGAAGGAAAGTATAAAAAACGGTTTGACGATGAGAAAACTTAGACAAAGCATAAACGTGAGTCGAATAATGCCTTGCAAGCTTGATTATACAGAACAGACATGGTTGATAGCAGGTACGCAGCCTTAAGGATCACAAGCCTGCCTTGTAATCCGATGGCGCGGATTTGAGTCTGCGTAGGGACCGAGGGATCCTGGCAGTATTCTTAGCCCACGTGCGACTGGGGTGGTTGCGTAATAGCGAAGTGTTGGTACTGCGTACCCGCGTACGTATTATGCCGTTTTTCATGATTGATAGCCCAGTGCTTATTATTGAGACAGCACTTGCAAGAAATGTGGAAAGTGAATGCCTATAATGAAAATGAGATGATGCCCCTTAGGTCGCAGTTTTAGCCCAACCAGTGTACAATGGCACGGGCTCTACTCGTTCGGGGAACATCCCCTGAATTAAACCATTCTTCTGTAAGGAGCTCGGTGAAGCCCACTCAGTAAAAGAGCAATCGGTGAGCCAGGGTACAGGAAAGAGGAAAGTGTGACTAGCAATAGTCAAACACACACACGCCTGCGTCATTGATAAAGCTGTTGGATCACTGACATGATGAAACGCACTGCAGTGGTAATGAGTTTGTGGTTACTATAAACGAAACAAGCCATGTAAAGATATATAACTGCACTATAAGAGTGAATGACACTCAGAGTAAACCGAAGAGGAAGGATGTTCTGGCAACAAGCGAGTTCCTCGAGATATATCTTCATGGCGGGAGCAAGCAGTTGAGATTCGATTAGTCGGAGCTCTGGCTCTGCGATCGGACTGCTCATGGATTGATGCATGATGGTATGGGAGTGATTAATTGAGGATGGGGTCTGTGGAATTTAATCATATCACATCCCACGGTTAAAGGACAAACAAAAACCCTTGCGTTTCACATATTTCCGTTATAATCAAGTATGAAACGACAGTTAAAGTGCGGCGGATCCAATGACAGAACCAGTCGTCAAGAGAACAAAAGAAGTAATGTGTAACGTGCAACACAAACAAACGGACAGAAATAAGACGGATAAGCGTCAGAGAAAAAGAGTAGGCTTGATGAATGAAATGATTGGCAGGGAAGGATCACGGGAACACAGTGGAGAGGGAAAATACCACGAACATCAGAACAAGACCACTTCACGGACGATTCCCATGCGGAAAATCACAGAAAAGAACGAGACAACAAGAAACGAAGGAAAAATTCAGGTAAACGAGTCCATAACAACGAGGCAAGTGAAAGCAGAAAATGGTTTGACCGACTAATGTGTCTCACGTGGAAAGGCACAGTGAAGTTGTGTTAATCAGTAACCGAAAGATGATGTCAGACACCCTCACAATTATTTGCGATCTCTGATGAGTCAACATGTTACGGGTAGGCTGCTCACATTAGACACAAAGTAGAAAAACGATAATCATATTCAGACAGATCTTTAGGTTCAAAATTCTGCGAAGAAATCTGTAAAGGCTCGCAAAAAGGGCCAGTTACGTAAGATTTGGTGGTTCCACATTCCAACCGCGGTCTGAAGGATCCAGGGTCTGAGTAAGCCCGACAAACTATTTGCCAATTGCGCAGTGCTAAGGAGTAACGCTCGCCGTCTCTCAAATGATCGAGGAGAAGCGCAACTCATCACACAGTGTGTGTACAAACTCGCTGCGATGAGATAACATCGCACTACGGTACCATGAAAGATGCGAACGAACGGACGGCAAAAGTCAGTTCCATTAATGTATGGACTTAACCCATTTTCTGCTGACGTCCTCTTTTAAGGGCATCTTCCAAAATAGGATTTAAGCATCGAGTTAATTAAGACAAAAGAGGAGTGGCCAAATGATTTCAGAACAGTAAGGAATAGTGTCTTTTCTGAAAAGCAATCAAATAATAATAATAGCTAGTACGTTAATGCAACACATTAAGTCATACTTTAAAAACTATCCTCAATAAAACACTAACAGGAAATGAGTTAATGGCAATTGAACCCTATGTGGGAGTAGCAATTGATGTTGTGTGATTCGGAAATCCATAACGTTGTCTCAAGACCACCACCGTACGTGAGGAAATGGTAGCTATCAGCATCGCTAACGGTACTAGATATCATTCGGTGGAATTTGGAGAAGAGTGGAAATGATGGCATTCGAAGAACGTCACGGAGTTTGAGAGATGAATGGGATAGAAATTCTGATTATGAGCAGTGAAAAAGCGTTCCGGGAGAATCCAGGTAAACAAGAATACAACTTTTATACTAGATCCAATGGCATATCGCCAGCGGTACATGAACTCTGTGGGCCTGATGTCCCATTGGTCCTGCTGGGCGTAATCGCCATGTCACAGAAAAAAGACAGCTACCCTTCTAAGTGGAAGCAGGCTATCGCCACACGCGACACAAAGGAGGATCCACTCACATGAAAGACAATGAGCCATTCCGAAGATAGATATAGGAGGAACCATAGAAGAAAGAATTATAGGATTTCTAAATGCGAATAACAAAAGTAATACGCGTTAGCCCAGAGTGAGGAACACACCACAGCTAGTGTGCCGCAATACAAAAAGCTAAGATACTAAAAAAGTACCCAACAAAAATTGCAAGCAAATAATATGATCTTAAATATGCTATTATGAGTTTTGTATGAGATCGGAATATGAGGAGGAGCAAGAGGGGGATAGACAAAGAAACCACAACACCAACGCCATTGGGGCCGCCGTTTCTCCGAATCAGCAAGTGTGTCCAAGCAAACGTGTTCATCGCCTTTAGGACCCCAGCCAGGCAGTCGGGATGCACCGACACGCCAACTTCGAGGTGAGGGTTCCCTTCTTATACTACTCGTGAGTGGCAAGATTTTAGTTGTAATTTTGTTGAGGTATTCATCCCAGTTGTTCACAAACTACGTAGCCCATCCTAGTCCGGTCTCTCTTCAGGTTAGAACGCAGTTTTGCCCTGAGATTTTTACGAGCCTCATTGTATTCGCTTCATGCCAGAATAGGCCGCCGAGCATCCAATAAGTTCCAAAGACTGTGTAGAGACCCAATGTCCAGTTTGGCAATTTGATTTGTCACATGAAGAAACGCCTGTTGATAGTAGCAATTGGCGGATATGTATCCAGTGATCTTCGATGGTGTTCAGTGGGCGCTTACTCAACTCGGATGTTAGCGCACTTTGATACACATTCAGAACACCAGACTTCGCCAGCTGACTGGCGGCAATGCCTTCATATCGACATTGCGGTCCGCCGAAAGACATCCGAAGGTGGGCACACACAAGAGCGTGATCGACGTCCGCGCTCGTGCTTCAAATAGAGCGACAGTTTTGGACACAGCCTCTCCAGCGGTAACTAATCGCGCTGTGATCGATTTGCGTCCATGGCTGGTGCAAGACTGGTAGGCGCCAAGTCACTTTTCTGCGGGTGCTGTGTCGAAAGTTAGTGCTGCCGAGAAAGAGGCGAGCACCTTCATATAGCTGTAGCAGTCGCTCACCGTTATCATTACAGGAGCTTACACCATGTTGGCCGTCCAGATAAAGCTCATCAGAAGACAATTCTCCGAGTTGGGCTTTTAGACCATCAGTTAATACCACAGTATCCGTGCTTGTCCTGTAACGAAGGAGATCGTTAACTTGGTGATAGAAATCATCTTTCACCGAATCAGTGCTACAGTTTGTGGGGGCGTAGGCCGTAATGACAAATGCGAATAATCTGATTAACTAATCGAAATATGAATTTCTCCGGGCACAAGCGTGCCAAACTTGTCAGTTTGAATAGCTGGACGACGTAACCAAATTGGGCGACTTCGGTCGGTCACAAGTTATCGCTTGCTTAAACACGGAGAAAATATTGGATCGTGTATCCCATTAAGAACTTCGGACAAAATTGGCCTCCTACGGGATTGCTAACCACTTACTAGCCTGACCGTTATCTATTTTATCCATTTTATCTATTTTATCCACTACCTCGTCCATACTGGCTCCAGGAGACAGTTGGTCGTTGCTGGAGGGGACGGGGTGCACGGTCCTTGTGGACGTGCTAGGCTCGAAGAGTGGTTCCATGCACTCAGTGTGGAGCGGACTACGGTCCAGCCACCGCCTTGTGTGCGATTGATTCCCAAATACAGCGTGCTTCTGTATGTCTGTGAAGGAGTGTGGGCCGGCTCCGTTGATGAAACGTGGTTCCCATCCGCATGCCTCCCGGTCTTATCCCTTCGGGTTTACACTGGATATGAGGCGTGTGGTTGGAGCTGTGGGTGGTGCAGAGCAAGCCACCCATGGTCCCGCTGTAGACGCAGGTGTCCTGTGGGTGGCCACAGTGACAGGCAAATCCGAAACCGGATGCCGCCAGCCATATGGGCCATAATGTTGGTCAAACAGTCGGCGGAAGAAAGAAGCCTTCAGTCTGGTATACCTCATGTACATTGCGTTCCTACATGTCATGTACAAACTGTACACACGTTCCCGTAAAGAAGCATTACTCTAGTGAGAAATCCAGTTGGATCAATGAATAACGAAACCATCCGGATAAGACTCAACAAAATGAAAACAGCGCTCTTAAAGGCCTCGAAATAAGTAGGCATTAATTGAGCCTGCACTTTGCCATCACATTTATTGGTCGATTCATAGGTGTGAGAAAGAAAAAGCACGAATTCGGAAGAATTTTGGAAATGAGCAGAGTGGTAGATGAGACGATAAATTTTCACGAAGTGATATGTAGCAGGACTCGCACAGTTCCATCAAAACTTATGCAGGGCTTGCCTGAGCCTGCCTCCCTAGCATACTCCACAATAGTTTGGTCATGCAGCGACCCAAACTGCGCATGTGTGGTATATGAGCTCTTCCCATAAACATTGCTGCTGTATCAACAAAAATCGTACAGAACATAACTGTAGCTCACTTCAAAGACAGCACGCAAATTCCACCTGAGCCATTTCCACAGTGACACTGCCACCATGTTGCGAGTCATGAGCCATACACTGAGACTTACCATCCTCTATAGTTTATGCCTTACGTTGTCATACTGTGGGTTACAAATATGATTATGTAAAGAGCAGGTTTGTTTTTGGCTGAGATAATGAATGACCTCTTGCTAGCAGCCAGTCTTTTTTGGTCTCGAGTACAGTCTCCGCTTAACGCGTTGTCAGCCCGCAGCCTAGAGGTGACGAGCTTGTCTAGTAATCTTGCGGCGCAGATTCGAATCCGCGTAGGAGTGAGCGTCCTCGCGGTATACTCAGCTCGCGTGCGGCTGATAGTGGTCGCACGGCAGCGAAACGCCGTTACGGCGTACAGCTGAAGCATTATTAATATCATTATTTATTATTAACGCGTTCCGTTTCCTGTTACAGCTGGCGTGTAAAAAACGGCTTGAGGTTAGGTCTCTTAGTCCGTGCTGATGCGTTCGATGGACTACTCCGCGTCCGTTCATCCGTTCTGACTAGGAGTGTGGAAACAATCAGAACGTCACGACAGGTAGCTTAAGGTGGAGTAGTAGCTAATTACCAATACAAAGGCGCAGAAGGAGATGTAATCTATCGATACATAGATCAAACACATTTAGTCCAGAGAGTAAGGGAGAGTGCCAGTAGAATAGTGGTATGAATTTCTACCACATACAAGCCAGATCGTAGCTGTATCAGAGCTGAATGAAAGAGAACACAGCACGAGAACACACTCACCACTTTTGCCCGCAGTCAAATGAATTGAGGAGCCGAATATATCAAGGAAGAAATCTGCAATGTAAATGAGAACGTTTAGCTAAAAGCGAGAATAACGATGGTGAACACGTGAAGAGGAAATGAAATATGGGAGTGAACATTAATAACCAAGGTAAGAATGAGTACGATTCGCTACCGGTGAAGCATGAGGTAAAGCCCACATACAGTTTAGTTTACTGTCTGCAGAGTGTGCTGGTACCCGATCGTTTGAGTGGAAGTGACCGAACGGTGTAGGCAAACAGAGGATCAATCAGTCGCCCCGACGCGAACTGATTACGTTTGCATGACCCGGAGAGTCAAAACAAAACTGGTTCGGTCTAGAGTGAACAAAGCACAGGTTGGGCATGAATACTAGTTAGCGGATTGGCTCGAACAGCTGCTGTTGAACAGTACGTGCGCCCCAACGAACCTATACTAATGACAAGAGATGCAATGGTGACCGGCCAAAGGGGATAACGGAAGCGATGATTAGCTAGCGAAAAGGAAACGGATCTGGCGCCACCCACGCGAGCTGAACATACTCGCCCGGACTAGACGGATAGCAGAGAATTTGTGTGGCCAAAGATGGCCCGAATTCAACGTGTCCCAAAGCAGAGTAAGAACAAAGTGCGTCGAGGATGGCGGACGAAATGTGTATGAGGACCCATGAACATCAACATAGTATGAGACGCTACAATGGGATTTGATCAGTGAGAGACCATCGCAATGGAATAGTGTCCCAAAGTTTTGTACAGGATAAGTGATTTTACGCTTCGGGAATAACAGGTTTGAATGCTGCCCAGACTCCGGCTTGACTCAAAGAGGGATACTGGACAGAAAGCGATGCAAATGGAAACTTTGCGTTGCGCACTCAGCTGGTGGAGGAGTTGGAGCACGGATTAATGATCGCTTGGGGCTGATAACGTGTGGTTGGATAGAGAACGGTGAAAATAGGTTCTAAGAAGAATCAACGAAGCCAAAGTGTATCCACACTGCCAACGATGTCACTATGGTGCTGAGGCCAATCCAACAGATTGGGTGATTTAGCCGTGTGATGCGAATACACAAAGCAATAGGCTACATAACTGAACAGATAAGTAGCTGTGGACACCGCGCATCGAGTAATAATGTGTAGGTAGCCATAGCAACAGAGTTTCTTAATGAGGACTTTAAACCTGGGTTAGTTGTGTGGCAAGTACCCACGGACGAGACGCTTCCGAACACCGCGGCGTTCAAAATACAGCCGGAATGCGAAAGGCCAGACCAGTCGTCCGGATAGAACATATATCACAAAAGATGATAAATAGATTGTTGAGCTCTAGCACATCATTCACACGTTCGTGTCTACGTGGATTCAGAGATGCAAATTATGCACAGGGTCAACAGCCGGAGGGCATGGAGCAGAAATCAGCAGACAACCGGGAAATGGAATTTGTTAATACTAAAAAGGAACAAGGCATAACACTGAGTCTTGAGAATGGGAAGCATTCATGAGTGGAAACACATCTGGACTGAATTGAGAAAACGGTAAGATGAGAATTCCGATCCAAGTAATCCAGGGGAGTTAAGAAAAGCCACCTGGTTCCCTGTAGTCACATGTAATGCATCGAAACGACGTTGTACCTAAACGTGGCGACGTAGTTTGTGCATCATCCAGCTGTGACGAGTAGTACTTATTAAGTGCTTTAAGAGTTTCGCGTAGCAGACAAGACAATTTTGGAGATCTAAAACATTTAAGCACAGGTCATGGCAAAATCTTGAGGAGGTAACAGCTTATTGAGTTTGTAAGCAGGTCGATTTATGTGAAAGCGGTAGGGCACTGAGATATAGAAAATACAACTGCTTCTAACTTTTCGCAACTGCGTGCTTCAAGTCAAGAAGCCCGTGGACAAACGGACACAAATGTGACTAAAATCGACGGCACTTGAACGTGGTGGTGATTTCACCAAAGAAGATAGACTATAAACCACGTACATTGTTCCCAAATTTTGATTGCGTGCCGTCAGATACAAGCACATCGTTATGGAACACAGAAGCCACACTTCGAAGAGGTCTATATCGCCTACTGCACAGTGCGTTACACTACTGAGTCGAATGTTCACAGTGGAGACAACCAGGTGAGCCGCAGTTATTCCAGCTGATTCTCGAATAAGACAAGAAATGGGCATGTACGAGCAAACTAAAGCTTTCGGTGTGAACAGCCGGAGCAGCAATTATCCACAAGATCCAGACGTTCATGCCTCTTGACTTTGTATTCTCTAAATTCAGACGTCTATTTGGTGGTCAAGCAACAAGAGATCATACATGATATCAATTCTTCTAATAGCGGGTTTCTCAATTTCTCGACGAAGATATGTACCATCTCTAAGAAGCGCGAATATACGAACTTGATGGCAGCAAATACAGGTGACATAAAGGTTCACATTTCGAGAAGAAGGTCTAAATAGTCAAAGTTCTCCTTGATACAGAATTTATGGCTCGTGGAATATGCTAGCAACAAAAACAAGGTCGTGTTCAGTATCAGTTGTGGATGTGAATGTGCGGTTAGAGTTAGTAGCTAGAGGTAACAGAAGACGGAAAAAAATAAAATATACACGGAGTATCTTGGAGAGCATACGAGATAATACAAGCAGCGCTATTCGAAGAGCAAAAGCGGAGACATTGGTATTGTTGTGATGCGGGCATTTCAGTGCAATGAGACGATTTTTTGCAGTTAGACTCAGGCAGAGAGCTCCCACACATCCAGGAAAGCGCTACACGGTCGTCTCGTCCTATTGTGACTCGTCAGTAGCGCGCACCCGCCGAATCCTGCCGGATTCGAACCCCCGACCTTACTCTTGCGAGCCTGTGACTTATGTCACTGAGCCAAGGACGACGGCAGCGAACTACCATGACTGATATGTAACTGCCATAAAACGTGGCTCATCCTCCACTGTCATGCATGCTATGAACGCGCAGCGACCAGGACTGGCCCGCAGAGTCACGACTTCCTTTGCAAGCCGCCACTAATCGATGTGACATGTAAGCCGTTGTTACGAATCGTATCAAAAGGAAAATATATCCTCTACCACACATTAATAATTACAGTCCATCATTGATCGTAGTCAGAAAATCATCTGACGAGGAACTCGAGTGGGTTCTGGTGACACTGACATTAGTAATCGGTTGCTCAAACCGAACACAGGACAGCTCCTTGATCTGTGAATATGCTCGCAGCATGTAAAGCGACACCAGCAGGGCTGGACATCATGGACGCAAAATGGTCACACCGCCGTCAAATGCAGGTAAGGCGCGTCAGTTCAGAATTGTCAGCCAGATAGTAGAAGTTGATTCAGTTGCGACTATGCAACAATGTGAACTAGCGTAAAACGTAATACTTAAGTTCCGATATAGCGCGTATCATCATTCAACACGTACGCCGGAGGTGAGAAACAGACCAGATATAGTATAACAATATAACTTAAAGTAGATGGCCATTTTAAAACACTTGCTATGTAATAGGCATGTCACACGCAACCTAAAAAGAACATCAGTAGTAAGCCGGTACGCAGTACCGAAGCTTCACTGTCGCGCAATCAGTGGGCTAAGGATACTTGCGAGGGTCGTACTGTCTCCTACACAGGCTCGAACCCGCGACCACAGAATTACAAGGCAGGCTTGTGATCGTTAAAGCAACGGGCCTGCACCGCGGTTCATTTTGAGGCGAACTTCGGTCAAGTCGGTCGCTGGGACGGAAAAGCAAACAGATGAATGATGTGTTTTTGTTATAACGTTGTAGTAATGAGATCGCAGTTGGAAGAGAGGCTAAAATGGGGGAGGGACAAAGAAGTTCAAACACACATGCCGTTGAGGTCGGCTATTCGTCAAATCAGCAAGTCACTAGCCAAATTCTTTCATCTTTCGAATCCCAACCATGCAGTTAGGGGGAACCAACCGAGGTTAACCACAAAGCGAAGGCCATGGTTGCTCTTGGCTAAGTTATCGATTGGCTCCTCTTCCTATTCTTCCAAGTAAATAACGCAGGTCGTCGGAGTTGGTGTATTGTATGCATCACCGGAGTCTGGTGTGTGAAATAACATTGCTGAGCGGTTTGTCTGCCCTGCCCTAGCCATTACTAACACACCGAACAGGCTAATGGCTAAAGCGCGAAGGTGCCGGTAACCGAACCCAATTAGACTCTTACGTATGTCGATCTGATGAGCCAGGTTTCGTAACCGTACAACAAGGTTGCACGGCTGCCGGTACTGTAGACCACTATAAAGGGCGGTTTTTACGTTGCAGTTAATGAGGATAAACCCGCTCACAGCGAAGAATGCAATGTAAACCGCACATCAGTCTGGTGTAAGGCGTCGAAATAATCCGTAGCTGACAGAAACCTCCAGCGGGTAGATTAATACGCTTGAGTAGTTAGTTACTTAAGGAAATCATTTTCGGAGCGTCCGCAATACTAAGAAACGACAAATGAAAATGGGCCTCAAGGCTGACATAAAGCGTTGGTGAGTGAGAAATGATAGTGTCATTGATAACTATTAACCCCATTGTTAGACAGGCCCAAACGACGTGACGCGAAATAAAATGAGACACGTTTAAATTCAAATTAAGCAGTTTAACGAATGCAACATTTTCGAAGGTGGTTTGTTGATATTCTAGAGTGGAAGACAGACTGACTTCAGCAGCGGTAAAGAGATACAATTGATCACATGTATACGCTTCGCCAGGTGTCTGAACCGTGTCATGCATGCGGACGGTGATCCATTTGACTTCAAGACTGCACTAGATTCGACTGGTCTCTCTCGTACAGATAATGTTTACCGTCGAAGAGTTAATTAGGAAACTCATCCCAATATTGAAAGCTCTTTACCCCAGCTAACAAGAAGTACCCTTCGGAGTTTGTCAAGACAAATGGAGTGTATCAGAGTTGTCCGATTTCCCACTTTTCGTGTAATCGTAGCAATCAAGGATGAGAGACCTGACGGGTTCTTCTGGATCAGAGATTGCATTGTGCAAATTGGAACATATGTATGGCACAGTCACGT